AAATTATGGCATGTCCCTCAGTATTCTCCACCACCCACCTGAAAGCAGGTCGTAGATGCTTTTTGGAATGAAGCATCTGGGCCCTCAGGCATTCAGGGTCTCTCCTGTGCTATCAAGATGCATTTCTTGGGAATAACTTTTCTAGACAGTGGTTGGAAAGAGCAATGCAGATAGCTGTGTTGTGACTTTCAGTATTGTGTAGAAAACAGGACAACGTGGGAGGCTGTGGACCCCAGCGACAGTAATTATATGTGAAGCTTTGAGCTTTTTCTCATCAGCTTTCTGTCTGGCTTACCTTAGGGCTGGGCTTCAACATTGTTGGTGGGACAGATCAGCAGTACATGTCCAATGACAGCAGCATCTATGTCAGCCGGATCAAAAAGGATGGGGCAGCTTACCTTGATGGCCGGTTACAAGAAGGAGATAAAATTTTAGCGGTAAGCCCTCTCTTCTGTCGCCCAGTGTGCTCTTGATGTGCTGTGATCAGTGATGTGATACGAGATGCAGGTTTGCCATCACAGTACACAGAGAAGCAGGATGTGGTGAATGCAAGTAGATGATGCTGGGCAGACTCCAGGGAAGGAGCTATCTAGGGGGGCCTGGGGACAGCTTTGAGCACCAGTGATATGGGTGTCTCTACACGTGTCTGTCTCTTCTGCCTTCTTGACTTGTCTCAGAAGTTCTTCTTGGTGCTCTGTAACTTGCTCCCTAAGGTTTTAGAACCCATCAGACCTTCTCTTGCCTACAATTTATCATGATTTACATACATATAAATAAAGAAGTCAGTCTCCCACCTCTGAGTTTCCATTTTTTGGCCAGTAGTCAGTGATTTCTGATCCTTGTTCTCAGGGAGATTTTTAGGCTATAGAACTTCCAGGCCATAAAACCATTCATTGCAGCTCATTGGGAATACTACAGACTGCTTCTTCTTTTAGAAAATGTTTTAAAGTGACTGAGGTTCAGTCCCCCTTGTTCTTCAGGCAGTTGGAAATCATACACAACAATATTCTTTACAAAGTGCTGACTGAAGAGGGAGCCTTTCCTGGTATGATACACTTTTAATACTTCTTAATTTAATTTTATACTTGCTTATTGCATTCCACATGAAATCTTTTTAGACTCTGTAGAATGCCTTGCACTAGTTGGAGCCTCTTATTGATCCAGAAAATTATACTAAGTATTATCCTAGCTTTTCTTGACAGTTTAATATTTATGTACTTGTATTTGGGGAGTCTAAATATGAAGAGAAGGGAGGCACTGGATATAATGTCAAGGGATGCAATTAGGGATAATGAGGGTGAAAAATAAAAATTAGGAGAAATTTAATCAGTTAGTAGATGAAATCAAGTAGGTTATAAAAACTTTTGCTGTGAGATACGGTTTTAAATTAAGAAAAATTCTAACACTTTCAAGTGTGTGCCAATATGTATTTTTTTTGTTTCGTTATGTTCCATCAGTATGCTTTTAAATGTATGTTTACAACACACTTTCAACCACAAAGGTTTTAAAGGTAGACCAAGTAGAGGGAACAATGTGGGAAAGAGCTGCATAATAATAATTTTGCTGTAGCTGCTTTTTATTTTCATTAGCTGTCAGAATTACACCTTTGATTTGTTTCCAGTAAAGCAACAGCATAAGAAGCTGCTAATGACAACTGCCATAATCTGATTTTACTTCAAGGTAGTTTTTTTCAGTACCTCCATGTTTTGTCTTGGAGTTTCTCATGCTACCTCTCAACATAAACATCTGTAGGACGAATGGGTGAATCTTGCTGATTATATCATCATACCCCAAATGCAGAATTTTGTGAAAGAGGAAGATTTTTGTCTCCTGTCCTTCCTGCATCATTGCAAAAGTGTTTTTTGCTCCCCAGCAGCTGTTCATCCTTTTCTTTTTTTGCTAGGTCAATGGCAGAGACTTGAAGGACTTGCGGCACAAGGATGCTGTGGAGCTGTTCAGGAATGCTGGCTGTGATGTGTCTCTGAGAATTCAGCGCAGGGTATGTTTTACCTGCTTCTTAGGGTCATTTCTGGCACAGTTTAGGCTGGTCTCTATGATTGGTAGCTCTGTATTTCACGAAGCAGAAAAACACCATGTTCAGATGCTCAGTATGAATTTTGCATATAAAGATTTTGTTTGAACTGTGCCCTTCTCTACTTGACTGCAACTGTAATCATCCATGCCTTGCCTGTTTGTAACAGTTACCAGGGAAGAGGGGAGTTTGGGGAGGTCCCTAGGTCCTTGTTTTACTGCAGTATAGTGTGTTTTTTCACAGCTCTCCTTTCTCAGAGGCAAAGGTTTGTCTGTGAAGACAGATTCTCAAGTTCTCCAGTTTTGTTTCAGAGGTCAAAATCTTGCTGGAGACAAAACTCTTCTGTTGTTTCAGACACCATCACTCATGTTAGGGTCGAAATGCATGTGCAGCCCACTACAAAGAAACAAATGTGGCCTGCTGTAGTTTAAATACACTGGCACCATTCTGGATATAGGAGGATAGGAATTCTTAACCCACTGTTGTCATTTGAACATTCCTGGCTAGCTTTGAAGTTGACAAGGGAAATCCTGTCAGCCTGAAGCATGGTAGTGGGGAAAGGTGGGTTGAGGCCTTTTTTCTACTCCCTTAATTAAAGGGGTAAATCTCCTGGACAAGTGTACAGGGCAAGTAAGAAAAACAGAGAGAATTAGTTATGCCCTTTTCTTGTTAAAGACACCAGGAAATAGTGCACTGGAAAGTGCATCAAGGGGTGACTGGATCTCTGTGTGTCATTGCTTCTTCTGTATGAGATGTCCTCTGCTTCAGCTGTTACAGCCCTAGTTCACAAAGTGGGAAAGGAGCATGAGGGTGCCTGGTAGTAAATAAGTACCCTGTCCTAAAGCTCAGCCCATCCAAAGGCATTCCAACACTTCTGTGTGTGGAGTGTACAGATACCTCAGGAAACCCTCTTGCACATCCTTACAGAACCACCTGTTCCTAACACAGGTTGTCCTGTGATGAGCTCTGATGCAAATACTTTTTTTTTTTCCTTGTAGTTGCAGCCACAAAATGGCCCTGTAGGTCACCAAGGTGATGGAGAATCAGGTGGGCTTCCTCTAGCAGCAGTTCTTGTGCCAGGCCTGGCGCTTGCTGCAGCAGCAGTCTGGATCTTGCTGAGGTATCGACAGCGGATGTGAAGAGTTCACGTTCTGGATGTCACTGCGTATTTTACACAGCTATGATGTAATTTAAGGATAGAGAATCAACGATCTTATCACTGACTGTTGTCAAAAAGGATCATTGCCTTTCATAAAGCTGCTGCTGATGTTCTTTATATATTGATTCTGTTGCAGGGTGTATGGAAGCAGAGACGAAAAGGGGGGGGAGTTGACTATCTTCATGTATAGAGTGGCATATCTCTGGTTTTGACTAATCTGAGGAGGTTTTGCCTTCCCCCTCTGTTTTGCACCACGAACTTTCAAACACACTCATTTATTCCATGGTTTAAGATGTGACTTTTGGTTAAAGGGGTGGGGGCTGGGGTGGTTTTAAACCAAAACATTTACTAGAGGCTTTGCCTTGTTTCCACTGAATTTTTCTTGAAACTAATGAACCATAAAAAAAAGAAGAAATATGGAGGGTATATTATTATTTCCATTGAATTTTTGTTGGTTGTTGCTAAATAAATACCTTAAGAAAAATGTATAAAGTCTTATCTGTGGTTTCACAGGTAAAATATCAGTGTAACTGCTGATTTAACAGTAATATGCAATATTGGTGACCAGTTCTGGAAAGATAGAAGATAGCCTGTTGCTAGAAAAAGACTTGGATTGCCACGACTGCTCATTCTTGGGTTAGATTTGTAAAAGAATACTTTCCACAAAATGGAAATACTGGCAGACAATGGAATCACAAAGAAGAGCAGTGGCAAGAGATTTGGGTATGCTGAAGCTGCATAAGAGTCTTTAAATTAATAATGAAGCAGTAGACCCTCCATCTGTAAAATGGGTTGAAGTCTGCATCTGTCAGGTTAAAAGTCTGTTTTGCGAGTTATTTTTTGGATGAGGAGTACTTTAGATAAGCAGCTAACTTGCTTTCTGCAGTTAGAAAATCTTATGATGATTGAAAGGAGGAAGCTGAGAGCAGGCTGGTATCATCCTGACTATTGATTGTTTGTAAAGACTGATGTGATGCTTAGGAGACAGACTGGCTGGTGTAAGCCAGGGTAGGGCTTAGCGAGTGAAACCAGAGGGTGAGACTCTTGCTGTGGAAAGCATGTTGCTGAATTTACCTGCAGGACCTCATCTCCTCACTGTGATTTGGACTGTTCTAAATGCCCCAGCTGACAAGAGCTCTGTGGGGTAAGAATTGTTCCTCTTGTCTCCAAGAAATCAATGTGTTTTGTTGTTTTTGTTAAAGAAAAGCCAAATGCATGGTCTGGTCTGTATGGTGCCAAAAAAAAAAATCACATATGCAATATATGTATTCAAAAAAAGAAAAACTGGTGTCTTGGTGCTTTACTTATCTCTATTCTTTATTATTCTAGTAGGGCATTGCTGATGTGTTTGGAATTGTGTTTTTACTCAGGGCTGTATTACTGCCGTCTGCTGAACAGTATGCTGTTATACATGGCATTCCTAAATCACTGTGGAGTTTCAGAGCATTTACACCACATGAAATCTCGTTTTGCCCTGTAAAGTGATCTGGTATAAGGGGAAGAGGAAAGAGGAGGAATTTTCCTCAATGTTCATAGGGGACTTTGGGAACAGACTTGAAGTTGGTTGAACACGTGTGTGTTGGATGGTCTGGGCCGATGTGTGCAGTGTCTTGCCTTGCGCTGCAAACCAGTTTTGCTTGGTAGCATGAGGGCTGCTGTCTAGACAGATCTTTGCAGATGTGGCATGAACCAGCTTGCTTGTCTGTGGCCTGCTCTGCATATTTGGCTGTGGTGTCCGTGTGGAGCACACGTGTGTATTAAGATGGGCAATTAGAACTTGTATCCCAGCCATCAGAAGGGAAATCTGTCTGTGAAACACCTCTTTGTTATCCTTTGGCTGAGATGAGTTTCTGTGAGAGGGATTGTGTGGAACAGTCTAGGAGGATGTGGATGTGCAGAAGGAATTGGTTAGTTTTGCTCATTTCCCCTGGAAGTAAGCAGAGAAAGCAAAGCCTTTGAGTGTTTTTGAATTTTGTTAATCTTTCAGCTTTGCTATTTTGACACTGTTCAGACATGATTGCCATCTGTGTTGCAGGCAGTTTATTGTGGGGGGAGGGTTATATCCAGTGCCCAGATAATAATGTGCATTACTGAGCAAGAAAAAGCCCTTCTGGTGCATACTGTTCCTTTGGATTTCTTCTCACAATTACTGAATAATTTTAATACCACAGCATTACCTCAGTGGCTTTTCCAAAATTCTAAATAGTAGTTTTTAATCAGAATTTAAACTATCCAGTCTAACACCTTTCCGTCTGCCTCCTTCAAACCAATGCCTGAGGAGCACCAAACAATCCCTGCCACCTCTTGTTCTATTTATTGACAAAATCCTTGTGGAAAATATACCTCAACCCCAAATGCTTGAGCTGTGACTTGTATTACTTTCAGCAGCTAGACTGTCTCACCTAAACTTTGTGTCTTTTCCAAAGTCTTTTCCATCACATGTTTTTTTGTAGCCTTGAATTTCACTAACTCTGTTTATGCATTTTCTGTCATTGCAGAAGAAGTGAATTAAAAGAATGTCTCATGATGACAGCTTGTAAATGCAAGTGATGAGAGAGAGTTTTAGCTTTTGTTACAATTTACATCTCTGGGTTTAGAAAAAAAGATAAGTTGAAATCTTGAAGAAAAACATAAAAAGCATCCGAACTGTAATTTATAAGTTTGGGCTTTTTTTAAGAACTCATTTGCTGTTAATACTGAGGGCAGCTGAAACTCTGAAATCCCCATGTTTCTTTTCCATTCCCCAACCTTATTGTGAACTCACTGACCTGCTGAGGGCTGGATTTTCATATCCATAGTTTAAAGACAAAGCCATCTAGTTTGACCTCCTCTATATTCCAGGCATTCTTGTCTCACTGAGTCTCCCGAATTGTATCTGTTAATAGTATATATTTCTCTTAGGCATAACAGTGAGAAAGAGCAGCTAGTCTTGATCTGAAGATAGGAAGATGCACTGCTTCTGGCACTTTAAAATTAAAACAAACCAGAAAGGAGAGTGTGGGAGTGAAAGGTGCCTTGCTTTCCATTTGCCTTTGGGTTCCAACAACTGGTTGGTTAGGTTGTTCTGTGCTAGATTAAAGAGGCCTCTAATAATTGATAATCTCTCCCTGTGAGGGGATTTGTGTGTTTTAGTTGCCTTACCTCTCATTTTTTGTAAGAAATGAAGCCAACTGAGTCCTTTAAGATTCTCAGTGTAAGATACTTTCTCTGTTGGAGTAGTTTCTGTGGCTTCTTGCATCCTTTATAGTGTTTTTGTATTGCTTTGTAAAAGACAGACACCCTAACCACATGCAGACTCTCGCTATTGAACATGCTGATATTATGTACTAGAAGTTTTCCATATAATTTTTCTCTGCAAACCTTTATATATGTATTTTTTTGTGAAGGTGCAGAAACCTGCAAAGCAAATTTAAGCCAACACCTAAGAGCTGGCTTTGTTTTATTTTTTTAATTTACTTCTATGAATCTCTGAGAAGTGGTTTACATTTTCCCCTTTCTGTTTGCTTTCTTAAGTTCGCTAAGGAATCTGTAAACCACAGAACAAACAGCATTGCCACATGAGAAGTGAATTCTCTTCATTCCAGTTTGTAGATCAAAAGAGCCATCCCTTTTGGTCATCGTGTGACACTAGAAATGAGTGTTAAGTGCCTGGATATTCTAACTTCTAAATCCTCGTCCATATCCATGTGCCCTGCATGGTGCGGGTGAAGGTATCTGACTGCATTTTGTGGAATGACTGCATCTCCTATTTGAATTGGCTGTGCACACTGACAAGCCCAGGTCTCTCTCTTTCTGCCTTGTCTGCTGT